GGGGGTGGGCGTGAGGGCGGACAGGAGTGGAGCTGAGGGGATTCCCAGGTTGAACTGACATGTCAGAGGCCAGGGCCAGACAGTCTTAGGCTCCAGTCCCCCTCTGTCCCTCCCTGACCCCAAGTGACCCCAGGCCAAGCCCCCACATCTGTGAGTTTCAGTACCACCCCCCACACACAACCAGCCCCCACCGGCAGCCTCCTCACTCCCAGGGTCCCAGCAGGGCACTAGCCCATGAGTACATTTGTGCAAAGGAGACAAGACCCTTGTCAGCTGGGCAGGATTGTTTTCCCAGGGCTGACTCAGGCAGCTCAGCAGTCTCCTGGGGCCTCTGTAGCCTCCCACCCGCCCTTGGCCATGCCTGGAGGAGGGGGCCAGGGGCTGGGTCAGTCCCCTCCCCAGACAGCCATCTGCCAAGGCAGGAGTACGTGTGCACACACATGTCACATGCTCCACAGCAGGGCCCTCCCTGTGGCAAGTACTACCTGGCTTCCCAGGCACTGAAGACAAAGGGCCTGAGGAAGCCCCAGCCTCTCCCCTCACCCCGTCCCTCAGCCCATCCCCCACCAGGGGCATCTGGAGAAGATGGGAAGTCCCCCTCCCACCCGACACTGGAATCACTTCACATCCCTGTGCCCCCCAGGCTCCTCCCAGCCTGACCACCAGTTAACCAGAACCTTCCATCCCATCTGGGAGGGGGAGAAAGATCAGAAGTTCAGAGCTCCCATCCCTCAAGATGCCCAGAGCCAAAGCCTCTGCCCTGCCCAGCCAGAGGGAGCTTAGAGACAAGCATCCTTGCCAGGATGGGAGGTCAGGCCTCTGGGGCTCCCTGGGGACCAGCTGTGTGGAGGACCCCACCCCGGGAGGGTCCCATAGCACCAGAACTGGAATGGGAAGAAGGGCCAGGGACTCCCATGGAGCTGGGCCAGACCTCACCTCCCCGATGGAGCCATGTGAAGCTAAGGGCAGAAGGGTGCCTGGAAAGAGTGGAGGATTGGGCCCTGTGTCCACAGCTGCTGGGGCCTGCCTCGGCTCCCCTCAACAGCAGGGTCCCCTCTCATCTCAGGCTGGGAAACTGGCCACCAGATAGCCCTCCCCCAGCCATTGCTACCCGGGAACTCGGGCCCAGATGCCCACTGGCCCTTTTCCATCCTACGCTCAGTCTCTTCATTTGTGAAACAGGGAGCAGGATCTTCCTCACCAGATTATGCAATTTCAGGTGACAGATGTCAACACCTGCAAAGTTCACTGGGCCATTGGAGGCACCGTTGGGGTTTTTTTAAGGAGTTGTTCCCCCTGTGCAGTTCTATCCCCTGATCCACTTCACCAACCCCATCCCCGCCTCCCCAGGGACCTAAGCTGGCACATTTTCATTAGTTGGAGAGACAGCAGGGGTTTCAGGGCTGAGTCCGAACCCGGAGAGAGCCCTGGGACTACTCTAGGCTGTGCCCTTACACAGGAGCCCCCAGCAGCACATCCTTTCCTGTCCTGGCATCAAAGCTTCAACCCCGGCTGGTCAGCAGGGCACTAGAGATCCTATGAGACACTGAAAATGCTGAGTCCCTGCCTGCCTCTAGCTCCGCCTGAGTCAGAATTCACCAGGGTGACGCTGAGGCAGCCACCTTAGGAGCCACTGGGGCAGATACATCCCAAGGGCCTTGCAAAAGCTGTGGTCCCCCACACCAGGCTAGGTGACAGGCTGGGGGAAGTTCGCGTTTCCCATCTCAGAGAGGTGAAACCTCAGACATGTCTGGGCCGCCCATTTCTACAGCCCTTTCACAAGGGAAGCACCCAGGCACGTGGGATCTGCATCTTTCTGGCTGGCCCTTAGGTGCCACCTGACTAGCCAGGGACACTCCCCACCTCTGGGTTAAGGGGTGGGGGGACCACCCAGCACCTTTCAAGGGCCACCCTCTGGCCTCAGTCATCTGTGTGAAATGTAAAATGACAATAATCACCCTGAATGGAGGAATGGGTAGATTAATAACCCTGAATAGAGAGGGAAGCTTCTCGGCAGCCTCCAAAAAGGCAGGGCCCAGGGCCTCTCCACTGCAAGCCGAGTTCCCCACTTGGGTGAGGGGCCTCCACAGTCTCCCCCTGGGACACAACCTGGGGAGGCGGCCGGTGCTGCAGGAGAGGCCGGAGCGCCCGTCTCCTCCCCTCAAACCCCAGCGTGCCTCCCAGAACCAGGGCCCCACCCCAAACGCCTCCCAAAGAGCTTAACTGCAGGCCCCGGCCCCAACATCTGGTCCCCCGCCAGGGCTGTCGCCACCCTCCCTCATCCTGGGATTGCCCCAAACTCTGCCCTGCACCCCATCCCCACCCCCTCGCCCAAGTGGGAAATTCGGATTCCAGGCAAGTCAGGGTAGCTGAAAATGCACATGGGAAAATGTCGTCAGGAAAACACATTCTTCCTTCAGACCCTGGGAGGATTAGGTGGCAAAAGACACTCCCACCGCCTGGGGCCAAGGCCAGGCCAGGGAAGGAGGGAGAGGGGGCCGCAAGGTGGGGCTGAGAGGGGTCTAGGCTCCCCAGCAGGCCCTGGCAGAGCTCTGTCTTCCTGCAGGCCAGCTTGCCCTCCAAGGGCACTCTCTGCAAGGGGAGCCCAGGCAGAAGGCATTGCTGTGGCTACCCATTCGCAGCTGGCTTTTTAGAAACAACAAAAGCTTTGGGGAGACGCGGTTCACACGATTGTTTGAAATGAGGTTTTTGGATGTCTGTGGCATCCAGTTATTCATACTGGCTCCACCCACGGATAATTGAGAGTTGGCTTTTGTTGGCCTGACCCTTCTCAGTCCTCCCCGCCCCCACCAAGTCTTCTCATGGACTCCAGCTCGGAAGCTCACCTTGTCTGACCTCTTTCTTGGTTTTGCAGATGAGGAAACTGAGACCCAGAAAGAGGAGGAGCCGGCCCAAGCTTGGACCCCAGGGAGTTGGTGGCCTGGCCAAAACTCAAATCCAGGACATCAGATTGCCAGGCCAGGGGCTTTTCCCACTCATCCTCGAGGCTGTGGCCTGGCTCCAGCGAATCCCCCAAAGCCACTGACTCCAAAAGCAGTGGTGCCTGGAAGTGGGGTGACTCACTGTCTGGCTTCCTGGGGCACCCCCTCCTCATCAGTGAGGGAGGGACTGGCAGGTGTCCCTGTTTAGAGAGCCAGAAGCAGGGAGAGGCCCCCCAGGGGACCTGGGCCAGGGTCACTCAGGGGCCGAAGAGCCCCAGCTGGAGGGATTTAACACCAAAGGTCAAAGGTCACAGACAGGGAAGGGCAGGCAGGCACTGGGGGTCAGAGGGTCAGCACTAATGGCAGCTCCGGAAAGGATGGGGAGGGTAAGGAGCTAAGGAAAACAGGGCTGCTTCCAAGGGGTCCCCAACCCCCATAAACAGTGGCCCAGCCCTCTGGCAACTGTCAGTGCTTAGCTGGTTGCAGAGAGGGCCAAAAGAGAGCTCTGGTGGGGGGTTGTAAAATGGGCTGGGCTGGAGCTTGGAGAGGGGTGTCCTGGGACGGGCTCCCCAGGTGCAGCCCCTCCCCCAGAGTGGGCCAGGGCCAGCTGGGAGGCCCAGCCCAGACCCAGAGGGGAGAAGGAGGAGCAGAGGGGGAAGGCTCCAGAGGTCACGGGGAGGGATGGAGAGACGTGTGGGCTGGGCTGGAACAGCTGTGGCACGGTGGCACAGGGAGTAGGGCTTGGAGGGGGCTGGGTGGGGGGCAGACTCGAGGGGCCAGCTTCCCCTTCCCTGAGTTGGGGAGCTGAGGAAGGCCCTGGGAGGGCAGAGTGTCTCCTTGCTGTTCTCTAGCTTCAGCTAAGCCCCACCTTCCCTCCAGGATGCCAGGACCAGGCGAGTGCGACCCTCAGGATGGCTGCCTCTAAAGACCACAGCTCGGCCCCTGTCCCTGGCCTAGACCAAGAGCCACGATGAGAGCCCAGGCCTTGGCCAGCTCCCAGGTTGGCCTGGCTGCCCCCTCAGTGTCAAGCATTCCCTTCAGAGCCAAGATCCCGGGCTGTGATGGCCGGGGGCCCAGGGCTCCTCCCAGGATCCCTTCCCGCTTCCCAAGCCCCAGGGCAGGGCCAGGATCCCTGCAACCATCACCGCCTGGGGGTGGCCAGGCCAGCCGGGCCCTCCTGGGCGGGCGGACAGGCGGCATGCTGCCCTGGTGTGGCCTGAGTGCCCGGCTGGCCACGGCAGCGTGCCAGGGGGTCCAGGTGCCAGCTTGGATCCCAGCCCCATTCCAGGGGGCCTGTGGGGAAGCAGGGTGCCGGCATCTCCCTCCCTCGGGATGCACCTGCCTCACCCCCTCCCCCACTCCCTCCAGACCCTCTTTCAGGCGTGCTGGATACCCCTGCCCTCTTCACTTTGCCAGGCTCTTCTGCTTCCACCCAGGCAGCGGTGGAGGAACAAGTGCCAGACAGGACTCCAGGTCCCAGTCCTGGCGCGCCAGTACCCCCTGTCCTGACCCCCAGGGGCGCCTCCCTCCCCCGACCCAGAAAGGGCCAGGGCTAGCCGGGGGCAGCAGCGGGGGGAGACTCCGGGACAAGGGAGGAGACACCTTTCAGACCCCGTCATAGAAACAGCCCCGGCGCAGCCGTGAGAGGGGGCGGCTGCCCGGCTACCCCAGACAACTTCATGCCCAGGCTCCCGGGGGCCCCCCTCTCACCCCGCAGCGCGCCCCCACCGCGGCCGCCCAACTTCCCCGCCGAAGTTTGCTCCCGCCCCGGGCCCGGCCGAGGCTCGGCCCGGCCTCCGGACGGAGGGAGGGAGGGAGGGAGGGAGGAGAGAGACGGAGAGACGGAGGGACGGGGTCGCAGAGCCGGCGAGGGAGGGAGCGCGCGAGCCAGCGAGCGAGGGAGCGAGCGCAGGGGCCCCGGCGAGGGCTCACAATGGCCCGGGGCGAGGCGCGACGCGGGAGGAGCCGGCCACCATCGGGTCCCGCAGCCCCCCGCGCGACAGCCCAGCCCCCCCGCCCAGTCCCGTCCCCACCGCGCGACGCCGCGGGGCTTCCTACCTCGGCGGCGGGGGCGGTCGGGCCCCCGGCTGCGGGCTCCGGCGGTCCGGGGGCGGCGGGGGAGCGAGCGGGGGAGGGGCCGGGGCGGGCGGGGGCCGGGGCGCGAGGCTCACGCGGCGCGGGCTCCCCTGGCACGGCCGCCCGGCGCCCGGCCGCTCCGCCACATCTGCAGCTCGGGCAGGGAAGGTGGCCGCGGCGGCCGGGCCGTGCGGGGATGTCTTAGAGAGGGAGGGAGGAGGGAGGAGGGAGGCGGCGGGAGGAGGGCCCGGCGAGCCGCGGAGGAGGGGGGAGGAGGAGGGGCGCGGGGGGCGGCCTCGCTCCCTCCTCCCTCCCCCGCTGGTTCCCTCGCGCCCGCCCTCCCAGCAAACCCCTTTCGCCGCCGCGGCCCCAGGCCCGGGGCGCCAGCTGCCAGGCGGGGCGTGCGCGTCGGGGGGAGGGGGCGGCCGGGAGCCGGCGCGGGGCCGGGGGAGGGGAGGGAGGGAGGGCGGCGGGGCCGCGGGGAGCGGGCACCGGGAGGGAGGGGGCTCCGGGCCGCGGTCGAGCCGCGCGCGTCCTCCTCGGCCCCATCCCCGAGTCAGCCCCCCCCCTGCAGCCCCGCCCCCGGCCCGAGGGCAGCGCTGGGACGCGGCCCGGAGGTGGCCTGGGGGTGGCGCGGGGCGGGGGTGGGGGTAGGAGGGATGTCCCGCCCTCGGGGAAGCCCGGGTAGGGGGCGGGCGCGCCGTTGACCGGAGGGAGGGCGTGCGGGCCCAGAGGAAAAGCCCCGAAGGCCGGGAAGAAGGAGGAGGTCGCTGCGGCCGAGGGGGCGGGGGCCCCTCGCCTCCCTCCCGCGGGGTCACCTTGGCCAGGCCCCCCGCGGCCCCGGGCGGCTGGGAGGGCGGCAGGAATGCCTCTCCGCAGGCCCTGATTTCTCCGCCCAGACCAGTTCCAGGAACGCGCGGGCAGCGCCCGGCGGGCAGAGGCCCCGGCTCCGGATTCGGGGAGGCCAGACGCTAGCTAGGGTTTGAGGCCGGGATGAGCCCCTCCCTCCCGCCCCTCGCCGGGCTGGTACCCCGCCTTGCCCTTGGCCTCAGTTTCCCACACGGTAGAATCAGGACGAGGTCGGGCCGCGAGCAGTCCAGGCTTCCGCCTGGCCCCAGGCTTGGTCCCAGCAGTTGGGACAACTTGCGCCCCAGCCTGAGCGCCGCGGGGGTCCTTGGTCGCGCGCTTGGACCCCCGCGCCCAGCGCGGCGCCCGCGGTTACGACGCAGCAGGAGCGGATGCCGGCGAATGCGAACTCCGGGCGCGGCAGCCGCCGCAGCTGTTTTCTCGCTGCTGATGGTGAACCCGGGCTCGGGTTCCCGAGTGTGTCTTGTTTGGGCCAGTCTGGAGCCCTCGCCCAGTCATCTCCTTGCTGCTCTGCTGTCAGGTGGCAACTCTTGGTTCAAAAACAGCCTTCTTGCTATTGGCCAGCCATGCCGCTTCACAGTTGGCCTGGAGGAGCCCAGAAGGCGAAAAGCGTCCTCTATAAGTGAGGCATCTGACTTCCAGTGTAATTCCGCCTTCGTTCGTGTATTCGGTGCTGCTGTCCCTGCCAGAGCCCGAGGCCGGTGGGATTTGATCACGCAGCATCCTCACCTCCTGACACAGAGCTTGACACATAGTAGGTGCTTACGACGTGTTGCACGGATGGTCATAGGGTAGGTGTTCATTATATATTAAGCGATGTACATATAGTAGGTGCTCATGACTGTTGTATAAATGGACACAGAGCTGGTGCTCTTAAAGTTTCTCGTGGACACATAGTAGATGCTCACTATATTTTGGGCAAATGGATACACAGTTGAGGCTTATGACTTGCATAAATGGAGACATAACAGGTACTCAAGATTTATGTGAATAGACACAGAGTAGGTGCTCATGAACTGTTGGGTAATACATGAAAGGCCTTTAGGCAGAAAGTGGCAGTTTGGAGGTGACCTCCTCTGCCCCCACCCCACCCCGATTTCCTTCGTGTGGATAATGTGGAGTGAGACCGGGTTAAACATTAGCCCGCAGATGGGCCTGGGGGCAGGCCAGCTTCGGGACCTAACACTTTCCAGGAGGGGGCTGTTAAGGGCCGACTCTCCAGGTCTGCGGACCAGCGGGTGCGTGGGGAGGGGCGGAGGCTGAGGGCCGCAGAGCGCCCCCTCCCGGCGCGCCGGGGATCTCGGCTATTCAGCCCGAGGCGCCGCCCTGCATCGCGCGGCAAAGCGTTGTTAGAGGGTATATTGAGGATATATTGAAAAATGGTGCACAAAAGGCTACTTCCATATCTGTTAGTAATGCTCATGGCGTGCCTGCAGGATGTCAGGTACTGTGTGAGAGTGAAGACAAGAATGAACACCTCAGCTGTCCTTGCCCTCAGGGGTCTTACAATCCGGTAGGACCGACTTGAATCCAGTGACCTGGGAAGTCCACTGACCTCCGCCCCTTGAGAGGCACTTGATCACAAGAAACCTTCACCCTGGAGGGCCTTTCTCATTTTTTTACACACACTAGTTTTCATGGACAAGCAGGTTGCTCGCAGTGAGAACTCTGAGCTGGGATTTCCTACCTTGGAATGATGGAAGTATCTTCTTTCTAAGGTTGTTTTGGAGATCAAATGAGGTACATTCTTTTTTTTTTTTTACTTTTATTTTTAATGTTTTATTTATTTCTGAGAGAGAGAGAGAGAGAGAGAGACAGCGTGAATAGGGGAGGGTCAGAGAGAGAGGGAGACACAGAATCCGAAACAGCCTCCAGACTCTGAGCTAGCTGTCAGCACAGAGCCTGACGTGGAGCTCGAACCCATGAACCATGAGATCATGACGTAAGCTGAAGTCGGACGCTCAACCGACTGAGCCACCCAGGCGCCCCAAATGAGGTACATTCTTAACACATATTAGCCATCACTACCTAGTGTCCACAATTTCAGGACTCAGATGGAGTCCCTTAAGATGCCAATAACCCCCTAAACTTGGCTTTTGCAAATCCCACGAGAGTGAAGAACTATACAAATGGGTGGCATTGACCCAATACAGAAACCCCCAATTCTCAGCCAGACCAATTCCTTCTCTGTACTAGATGCCTCACTTTTATTATATTCACCAATGTGATCCTGAAGGTGAGTCCTATTATTATTCCCATTTTACAAAGAAGTAAACTGAGGCACAGAGAAGTAACTTGGCCAAGGTCTTAGAAGCTAGTGGGAAGCATAGTTCAGATGGCAATCTCAGTCGAGCTGATTCCAAAGCTTGTGTTATAATACACTATCTCCCTGGGGCATAAGTTATGGGGTGGGGGTGCAGGACATCTGAGAGGGCCAGGCTCCAAAAGGGTTATTTGGGGGTTGTGCTTTTCTGGGAGGCAGCACCTGCTAAAGCAGTCACACCAGGTTTGGCTTCCTCCTTCGTAGTGAAAGGTGGGTAAGAAAAGATGTCCTCTTCCCTTGGGTTTCCTCCCTCAAAGACTCTTTATTCTGAGCAACCATCCTTTGGTACCTGTTCCCTTCCCCTGTGTTATGGACTGTCTGCCCTGCTAGTACTAGACTGTAAGTTCCCCAGCTTATAGCAAGAAGGCAGCCATCTGCAAGCAAAGAAGAGAGTCCTCACCAGGAACTGAATCTGCCAGCCCTTTGATCTTGGACTTCAGCCTCCAGAACTGTTAGAAATAATGTGTGTTGTTTAAGCTAAACCATCTATGTTATTTTGTTATAGCGGTCTGAACTAGTTATCCTAACTGATAGATATACTTGGCAGGCTGGACCTGGTCCCTTAAACTTTCAACAATAAATATTTATTGAACATCTTCGAGGTTCCCAATCATTCAACAGATGCTTATTAAGTTCCTGTTATGTGTTTATTCATCAACATTTATTGAGGCCCCATGGTGTGCATTGGGCTAGGTATGCCTATCCATGTCTTGAAGGAAATTTCTCAATCAAGTGGGGACCCCTTACCTATCAGTATCTAGAGGGGACACAGCTCACTCATTCACGCACATGTACACTACCAGAAGGGTGTCATGCACAACATAGGTGCTTAGATGACTCTTCAATGAATGCACATGCTAGATCCAGTGGAAACTCAGCGGTTTTCACTGTTGTGCTTACACACAGTTCCTGTCTTTCCAGAGCCTATAATCTATTAAAGGAGCTGAAAGTAAATAATACAAAACAACATAAAAAAGTGAGCCCTATGACCTACGTTGTAGACGGAGGAGAGACCATGAGACAATAGGAACCAGGATGGATGAATGGCAGCAAACCCCAAACTCCAGCCCTTGACCTTAACCAAGCCATCGGATGTCTCTGAGCTTTAGTTTCCCTATCTGTGAAATTGGTGATCCCCATGCCTATTATGGGACTGTGTGAGCCTCAGTGCAGAGGGCATTGCTTGGTGGGATGAAAGGGTGCAACAAACAGTAGGTACTGTTGTTAACGAAGCCTGCAACCCACTGTGAGTGGGGGCCCAGGTGAGATCAGGGTGACTTATTAACCTTGAATTGGGGACTGATGAGCTCTCTCCAATTGGTGCTAGCTTGCTGTGCCTGTAGGGCTGGGGCTGACTGTGGGTGGGGTGTTTATTCTGGGAAGCAGCCCTGGCTGCTCCTCACACCCAGCTCCAGCAAGAAAGGAGAGCCTCGAGTCAGAACGGGGTCCTGTCCTGTGCTGGGCCTGGCATGTATGGCCCAAGGCTGAGAATGTCCAGGAGATACAGCCCCAAGGGCCAGCTGGGTCTTTCAGGTTTAGGACACACTCTCCCCCACAGGACTCACCAACCCCCCAGGAATCCAGTTCTAGATGGTCTGAAATGCTCAGCTTTTGATGCTCAGCTTTTGGAGTTCTGAGGCTGAGCCCTGGATGCCAGTGTGGAGGTGAGGCTCCTGCGCTGGAGTGTGGAGGTGAGTGAGGTAGCATTGAAGGGGTGGGGAGGAATGTCCCTGCTGGCTTCTCAGCTCCTGGAAGAGCCGCTGAGCTCCCTTCATCAGGCAGGTTCACGGACATTCACCTGTGCAGTCCTGGTACTCAGCAGGG